CATCTTGCAGCCAACTTAGGAGAATGATCTGCAACCCCTCTTGGGCTACAAGTGAAGGGTCCCATTCCCTCCCCACTGGGAACAGGTGGTGGGAGGGTTGGCCTGGTGCCCTATGTCGTACAAGCTTAGGCAAAACAAAGGTGCACGCGTTGAGTCCAGAACACAGAAAGATAATCCCACATGAGGCAATAAACCCAGCACAGCTGTGCAGCACTTTATCTCTTGGGAAGGAAGTGTTCCAGCCCCAAGGCCTCTCTTCTGTGGCCCTGAAGGGGTTGAAAGATCACATACCCCAGAATGCCTTTCCCAGTGGGATGCGCACCTGGCCTGAGAGAGAACTAGATCACTACCTCACCTTTGCTTGGGACAACAACCTGAACTCAAAGGACCTTTCTTGCTCACCACACATCCATCAGATGAGGCCAGACACCTGGGATGGTTTCACGTGGAAACTCAAGGAACAGCAACCAATGCAGGGAAGAACCACAACTTCAGGCCTCTCTCCTGAAAAGGGACCTGTGCATGGAACACCATCCAGATTTCAAGACCTGCCCAGCATGCAGACACATAACACATGGAGTGATGAGAAAGGAGGGAGGGCAAAGTTGAAAGTAACAGCAGAAAATTCCCATAGACTAAGTGCAGGTCTGAGAAAAAAGATGAGCTACCCCAGCGAGGGGACATCTTAGCTCAAATATGCTAACTTTGTAATAGGATAGGGCAGCTCAGCTTATGCTAGATAAACGTGTTGTGCAAGCCCAGTTACTGGAGTGTGGCAAGAGCAGTGTTTACAGGCAGAGATGACAAGATATCTGGTATCTCTAATGGAAGAAGCTAGCAGGTGTCCTAAGCAGTATTGTGAAATAATTATAGTGAGTGCTTCACGTAGCAAACACCTCGTCTCAAAGGAACTGCCCAAAGCACAGTTCCTGGAGCGTAGTAAGTGTTCAAGAAGCATTGGCTGTTGTTATCATCAGCTCTGGAAGACCGCTGAGGCTGGAGCAGCTGATGTGGAGATGCACAGCCTGCTCCCTCAGTTATGCCAAGCTAAGTAGCAAACAGAGCTGATGTGATTCTTAAATGTCACCAATGCTGCTTGGTGGTGGAGGAGAGGAAAATCAATAAAAGACTCAGGAAGTACACAAAAACTACTCACAAAATGTTTTCTATACCAGAGAGGTCAAGAAACGGCAGTATATTGTGAAATTGGACATTTGCGCCTTCACTGTTTCTTTTGCTGAACCAACATTCGTTCGGTACTGTGTCAGACACCTCTGTACACACCACTTCTAGTCTGTCAGTGCCATCTCTTACTCTGGCCACCACTACAGCAACCAGTCCTGCACAGGCCTTGTCCAGCTCCACATAGGTATAATCTGACAGCACCTCACCTTGCCATCATGCATACCCCTCTTTTCCTGTATCAGGGACTCTCTGATACTGACATAAAGGACCTGAAGGAATCTGTTCGGTACTCAGGCACGTGCAACTTGGAGGTACTGGACAAGGACTCATGACTACAGGGACTTGGAAGTCACTGGGTAACATCCACAACAAAGGAGAAAGTCAGCGAGTGGATAGAATGACTTGCCCCATGGAAGCCAGCCAGCCTCTTCCCTCAGTCACGACAGCGCTAGTGCAGCAAGCCCTTGGCTATGGTGGCAAGGACGGCGGCTATGCGTGGGCCCAACAGTGTGGACTCTCTCTCATCAAGGCCCCTTTAACTATTGCCACTGCTGAATGCCTAACCTTCCAGCAGCAGAAGTAGATGTCAAGTCTCAATATGGCGCCCAGCTCCAAGGAGAAAATACAGCCATATGGTGACCTGTTGATTATCTTGGACCTCTGCCACCCTGCAAGGGAGAACAATCCAACCTTTGCAAGACTGACACGTACTCCAGATGTGGGGTTTTTTTCCCTACCAACAGTACCTCTGCCAATGGTCCAAGGACTTACAGAATGTCTGATCACTCAGTATCGTGTTTGTACAAGATGGCTCAAGTCAGGGGATCCATTTTATAGCAAATGGTGTGAGTCAGTGGGTATATGGGATCCACTGGTATTAGCATATACTTAATCACCCAGATCAAGAGAATGGTGGGCTGTTAATAATTTAGCTGAGGCAACAACAAACTTCAGGGTTGGGACCTTCCCAGAGTTCAGTATATGCACTGAATCAAAGGTTGTCAGATGATGCTCTGTCGCCAGTGGCTAAAACACTCAGGAACCAAGGGGTTGGCCCCTCTCCATAATTCCCAGTCATCTATTTGTGGTTCCCATCCCTGCAACATTAGGCTCTGCTGGATTCCTGGGGAGAAGGCGGGGGTGGGTAGTAGAGATGTACTAGTATGAGTACACAGTATGGGTTCTTTTGAACCTGGAAGAACTAATACAACCATCTTGAAGGAGGCTTTGTGATGGATTAGACGTAATAAAGGCACAAACACATTGGAGGGAAGCAAAGGGTGGACCGTATTGTGTATTACTTCACATCCTTGCAAACTCACCCTTTAACTCAGCCACTGCTCAGCCATCACTTTCTTAGATTTACACAAGCTTCATGCAGGTCTCTTGCCACATAACTCTATAGCTTCCTGCCCTGGGGCTTTCTCTGATCCTGAGCTGTGGAAATCATGATAGAATATAACACACATGCATTAGCAAACCAGAAACGTGAGGAATTTAATATTTGTGATCCACCACTGGCCAGTGAAGGGTTGTCCCCACCATCTATTGCTGTGTAACAAACCACCCAAAGCTTAGTGGTATAAAATGACCACGATTGTATTCTACTCACAAATTCTATGGGTCAGAAATTCATACGGGGCACAGCCCAGATGGCTCATCTCTGCTGATGATGCCTGGGGCATGCTTGGGAAGACACAATTAGCAAGAAATGACTCAAAGGGATGGGCAACCATCTAGAGCAGTGTTGTCCAATAAAAATACAATGCAAGTCACATATGGAATTTTAAATTTTTTAATAGCCGTATTAAAAAAGTAAAACAGGGGAGTTCCCTGGCAGTCCAGTAGTTAGGACTCGGCACTTTCACTGCCTTGGCCCAGGTTCAATCCCTGGTTTGGGTATTAAGATCCCACAAGCTACGTGGCATGGCTTAAAAAAAAAAAAAAAAAAAGTAAAACAGATGAAATAATTTTCATAATGTATTTTCTTTAATCCAATATATCCCAAACCTTATCATTTCCACACGTAATCGATATAAAAAATTATTGAGATGCTTTTACATTTTGGGGGGGTACTAAGTCTTTGCAACCCAGTGTATAGTTTATACTTTCAGAATATCTCAATTTAGATTAGCCCCATTTAAAGTGCTCAGTAGCCACATGTGGCTAGTAGTTGCTATATTGGGCAGTGCAGATCTATAGGCTTCCTCACTCCCATGTCTGGCACTTAGGCTGGGACGACTTGAAGGCTATGCTCATTAGGGACTGTCAACCAGAACACCTGCACGTAGTTTGGGCTTCCTCACAGCATGGCAGCCTCAAGCTAGTCACTCTTCTTAAATGGTGGCTCAGGGCTCCAAGAGCAAGTGTCCCCAGTGATCAAGGTTCAAGCCCCATGGTTTTTCACACCCTAGCTTCAGAGGTCACATGGCATGCTCCATTGATGGAACCAGTCACAAGCCCTCTCTGCTTCAAGACGAGAAAACAGAGACCCCACTGTTTGAAGAGAAAAGCACGTCAACGAATTTGTGGCCATATTTTAAAATGCCACAGGGATGAAAGCCAGGAGCTAAATGTTTCTCCTTTCTTCCTCCAGGCAAAATATTCTGCAATGCATTCATAAGGCACTTCAAAAAGTCCCAGCAGAATCAAACACTAATCCCCACCAACTGGTCCAGGCTCTCATTCCTGCTCCTAGGAATACTTCCCAAATTATCGAGCTTCACCCCATAGTTCTCATGCTCTGCTTTCAGGGGAATCTAAACTAGGAACAAAGATACAAAAATCCCTGCTTTCATGGAGTTTATGTTCTAGAAAAAGAGACAGATATTAAAAGATTTACAAGTAAAGTATATAGTATATTAGATAGTGTTAAGTGCACAGGAGAAAAAATTAAGACAAGAAATTTGGGCAGAGGGAGATTATAATTTTAGATAGAGTGTCCCAGAAAGACTAACCAGAAAAATAACATTTGAGTAAGGAGCTGAAGGAAGTTAGGGAGAAAGTAATACAGTAATTTAAGGGAAGAGTAATGAAGGCAGAGGGAACAAAGGTCTCTGAACCAGCCTGTATAACTGAAGTAGAATGAGTGAGGGGAAGTAATAGGGTCTGAAAACAGAGAGAAAACAGGGACCAGAGCACATAGGGGCTTGTAGGCTCTTAGAAGGATTGGGCTTTACACTGGGGAGATTAAAAAGCCATGGGTGGGGTTTAAACAGGATTGACTTGATCTGATTTATATTTTAACAGGATCGCTCTGGCTGCAATGTTGAGAATGAAGTGAAACAGGGCAAGGGCAGAGGAAGAAGACAAATTAGGAGGTTTTTGCAAGAATCCTGGTGAGAGATAAGGTTGGCTTGGACAAGATGGAGAGGGTAGATATGGTGAAAAATAATAAGACTCTGGACACATTTTTGAAAGTAGACCCAAAAGTATTTATTAATGGATTGGATGTGGGGGTGAAACAAAAGATAACATGACCGGGTTCACACGTTAGAGCATCCTCTCTGGTCACCCCTGATGACAGGCTGCTCGTGCCCTTGAATGGGGTTAACTCCCGAGGAAAAAATTCTGGTTAAAGTATTCAGTGAACCTCCTAGAGGAAGTATCCTTCATAAACTAGTCCCTCCCTTTGCCTGTATCCATTGGGCAGTTGGGAAAACCTCAAGTCATCCTTGCCCTCTACTTCCTGTTACCTTCCCAGCCTTGTTCCCTTTTTTAGAAATAGTGTGTTGTCTGTTATTCAGCCAAAGAACAGCATTCTGACCTCCGCCTTGTGACTTCCTGGTCCCCCTGTTCTTATAAATACAAGGGCAGAGCTGGGGTCTGGGGGAGTCAGAGAGCAGAGAGCCCAGGAGTCCTCAGGCTGGTACTGGCTGTGCACGGGGAAGATGAAGACCTCAATAGCTGCCCTCTCCTGCCTCATCCTTGCTGTCCAGGCTGCAGCTGGTGAGTTCAGTGAGCCTTCTCACAGGTAGGCAGGTGGATGGTGACCCTCAGTCCCAGGGAGGAGACGCAGAGGGACACCTTTGTCCCAATAGGGATGTGATACTTGGTTAAAAGCAGCAGCAGTAGGTATAGACCTCTCCCTGCAGCCTTCGGTCCCTGGGGAAAACTGTATACAGGTGACTGGTCCCACCTGGGGAAACAATTCTCTCCCTTTCATGGCCAGAATTATATGACACTTTCTCTTAGCTGATATAGGACTATTATCAGCTACATCAAGAGAACTGTAGTACAATTGTAAATCTGTAGAAAGAGGTATAGAATTCTATGATGTTAGAGTTATTATATACCCTCTGGTGTAAAACTATCATTTCAGGGAGGAAATTGGACAAGCCGGGCGAGTGACTCACCCAAGTCTACTTAACCACATTTATTTATTTACTTAACAAATAAATATCTAGTCCTTTCTGTGTGAAAGCAGGCACCGTTCTAAGTGTCTTACAGATATTAATACATTGGATCCTCCTAACAATGCTGTGGGGTAGACTATCAGCAAATTATATGGTTTTGCTTATTATTATTCTCATTTTACAAATGAGAAAGCTGAGGCATAGAAACCGTAGGTAAATTGCTCAAGATCACACAGCCATAAGTGGTGGCATTAGGATACAAGCTAGTTAGCAAGCTGTTATGGAAAGACATGTCATTTAAGACTTTATTTTGCAAGCCCCACACACATCATACCAAGCGTGTTGAAGTGTGTGCACATGCCTCATTTAATATAATTCATATGTAACTATATAAGAAATGAACTAAAAGTTTAGTTGTGTTTGCCTAATTAGCATAGTACAGGTCTACAACCCCTTATCAAAATCTCTGGGGCTAGATGTATTTTGGAATGCAGAATTTTTCAGGTTTTAAAAAGATAATAAAATATGACCCAGCAATTCCTTTTCTTGATATACCCAAAAAAATTGAAAGCAGATACATGAAGAGATACCTGTACAACCGTGCTAACAGCAGCATGAATTTTAATCTCCAAAAGGGGGAGGCAACCCAAGTGTCCACTGACAAACAAATGGATTGAAAAACAGGGTATATACATACAATGGAATATTATTCCGCCTGAAAAAATAAGGAAATTCTGATACATGCTACAACATGGATGAATATTGAAGACATAATGATAAGTGAGACAAGCCAGTCACAAAAGGACAAATAGTATAATTCCACTCATATGCGGTACTTCAAGTAGTTAAATTCAGAGACAGACAGTAGAATGGCGGTGGCCCAGGGGATGCGGTAGGGGGAAATGGGGAGTTATTGTTTAACGGGTACAGAGTTTCAGTTTTGCAAGAAAAAAGTTCCATGGATGGATTGTGATGAGTTGCACAATATGTGACTGTACTTAATGTTACTGAACTGTACACTTAGAGATGATTAAAATTGTATACTTTATATTATGTACATTTTATCACATTCTAAAAATATATATATTTTAAAAGGTAACACATACCTGGACGTTACTTAACATCCCTGACAGAGTCTGAGAGACGCATTAACCAAACACAGTAATATTTCTGCAGCAAACACATTTACTCCTATGTTAAAGGAGTAAATAAAGCCTGTAGATAGCCTCCCTTCACTTTGGGTGACATTGTACCACCAAATCATTTAATGAAACATTTGTCTGCTTCCAGAGTCCTGTGAATTCCAAAAATGTGTAGAAAGCATTGTGGACCGTATCACATTATGTAGCTAATCAACTGATTTATTTGTGTTGGATTTGCAATTTGCTTTTTGTATTCAAGTCAATAGAATGTTTTCATGTCTCAAACTTCTTCAAACGTTCCCTGAAAAGTCTCAGGGCCTTGGTAGAGAAAATGGGTCTGGAGGCAGGTCTGGTCCAGTGGTCCAGCATCCTTGCCTCCCTACCAGGGGATGGGGTTGAGGAATGAGATAGATGGAGATGTTGAAACAACTGCTTCCCAGTAATTTTTCTTCCCTTCTCTACTGTTTCTCTCAAATAGAACACCTGATGCCGAACCTGAAGAACGAACACTTCATGTTTCACGGAGGTAAAGTTTTGTTACGGTATATATATATATCTGCTCAATGGCTTCGGTCTACCTCGTTTACAGGGCCTGGGGGGAGAGGAGGGTCCTATGGGTGGTGAACATCTCCAAGGAATTTCAGGATGGGCCATGGGTCTACAGGTGGCCTCTTCCGTAGATGACTTCTATTCCACCTGGCTGTCCCAAGAGCTGGCTCATCTGGGGGAGGGGGGAGGGGTGTTCTCTGATGCCCCCTGCAGGCCTCAGACCCTTCCTCTTCTGGGAGGAATGGTCCTGCTCTGTTGTGGCCCCGCCTGGATGCCCTCCGACACACAGCTCAACCCTGGGGAGAGTGAAGCAAGGAGACACCAGCAAGTGCTGGCAGAGAAGGAAAACATCACTTTCGAGTCTTGCACCTTCTTACCCTTCCCAGTACTCAGGAGGAAAGGGGGAAAGGATCTAGTTTTCCTCAGACTCAGTCCTTAAGTGACCCTTTCTCTTGCAGCAGGCTTTCACCGTCCCACTGACTGCTGCACCTCTTACACCCAAGTAAAAATCCGATGTGTATCCATGAAAGATTATGTAGAAACGACCAGTGCATGTTCCCGGCCTGCTGTCATGTAAGTGCCAAGCTCACTGGCCATGTCTGGGGGTGTGGGGGGAGGCACCTGATGGATGGATGTCCAGAAAAGTCCCACCCTCTGGATCCTGCCAGGTCAGCTGAGGCTTATGTCCTCATTAGGATCCATCAGGTATGAGATGTTCCCAGGGAAGAGGGAAGCTAGGGAAGGAAGGAGAGAGCAGGAGGGACGCTGCCCAAGGAAACTCCACGAGTCACTAAGGGAGTCTCGGAGCCTGAGGGAGGGTCTCAGAGAGGGGCCACTGAGCTCCTGCAGCAGAGAAAGGAAAGAACAGGCTGGGCCGAGTGGGAATCTGAGGGGCAGGGAAGATGGGCCTCCCCATTCCCATTTGCTGAACCCTCCTCTGTTTGTAATCTTTCCCCCCTTTGCTCCCCAGCTTCATCACCAAAAGGGAGAAGCGTGTCTGTGCTAATCCCAAAGATGAGAATGTTCAGAAATGCACGTTGGACCTGAAGCTAAGATCAGTGGCCAAGGACCTGAGAACACTATCTCTTGAGAAGAGATACTTGAAGTAGGCCCCCTCACCTCCATCTCTCTAGCCCAGACTACCTCCTAGGTGGGCCCTGGCCTGAATTATTTTTTAAAAAGCAACAATTACTGTTCTGTTCTGGTTACAAAAGCAGTGCATTAATAAAGAGTATCCAATTTAACTTTAACTTTAAGAGGAAAAAGAATCTGTCGGAATTGCTGAACTTTGGATTTGCGTTTTTGTCAAAACAAGACATCATAGTAGAGTTTTTTAAAAGCTAAAAACATGACATTCAAGTATAGATTGAATATGTGTCGAAGATGTATTTAACCCATTAATGAAGGAACAATTAAACTGATTCAAAGATCATCTGAGGAACAGAGGTTTATATAGTTATTGGGGATGGCATTCTGAAATGTTGTTAGAGAAAAACAAATTAATATCCTATAGGGCAGGGGTCCCTAACTCCTGGGCCGTGGACCGGTACCAGTCCGCAGCCTGTTAGGAGCCTGGCTGCACAGCAGGAGGCAAGTGGCGGGTGAGCGAGAGAGCGAAGCTTCTGCCGCTCCCCAGTGCTCGCATTGCCACCTGAACCATCTCCCCTGCACCCCATCTGTGGAAAAACTGTCTTCCACAAAACCGGTCCCTGGTGCCAAAAAGGTTGGGGACCGCTGCTATAGGGCAATAAATCTGTAACTTTGGGGATTATCTTTTCTACTAGACAAAAATCCCTTGCATCTGTGCTTGGTAAAAAGCTACAAGTTACAAGACATAGAGAAGGAACCACAATAAGACGTGTAGGGGGGCAGACTTATGATGTAGTCAAGTCCCATACTCCCTGGTAGGTGACCCACAGACTGGAGAATAACTCCATTGCAGAGGTTCTCCCACAAGAGTGAGAGGTCTGAGCCCCACATCAGGCTCCCCAGCCCAGGGGTCCTGAACCAGGAAGACAAGCCCCCAGAGCATTTGGCTTTGAAGGCCAGCAGGGCTTAATTTTGGCAGTCCCAGAGAACTGGGGGAAATAGAGACCTTACTCTTTAAGGGCACACACAAAATCTCACAGGCCTTGGGACCCAGAGCAAAAGCAAACATTTGATAGGAGCCTCGGTCAGACCTACCTGCTGATCTTGGGGAGTCTCCCAGAGAGGCAGGAGGCAACCGCAGCTCACCCTGGGGACATAGACACTGGCAGTAGGTATCCTTGGGAGCTCCTCCTACCACGTGGACACTGGCGCTGGGGGGCACCTCTGTGGAATCTTCCCTCTAGCTTATTGCTCCAGGATCCAGCCCTGCTCTGGCCCAACAGCTTGTAGGCACCACTGCTGGGACACCTCAGGCCAAGCAAGTCACTGGGTGGGAACACAGCCTCACCATCAGCAGACAGGCTGCCTTAAGACCCCCTGAGCCTACAGCCGCCTCTGGACATGGCCTCACCCACCAGAGTTCCAGAACCCAGCTCCACTTACCGGGGGGCAGGCACCAGCCCCAGAATCCTCAGGGCCCCAGCTCTGCCCTACAGGAAGCCTGCTTTAGCCTCTGGACAAGCCTCACCCACCAGGGGGCAGACACCACATGCAAGAAAACCACAATCCCACAGCCTACAAAACCAGCCTGCCCACCAGCAGGCCAGATCCTACCTTGGGACCAGCTGGGCCTCAATCTTGCCCACTAGCAGGCCAACACAAGCTTTGGGACAACCCGGACATCATCACAGCCAATTTATCAGGACCTGCTCACCCCCACCACCAGTGATCTGACACCAGCTCTGGGACCCCTGAGCCCTGAAACCAGACTCCAGGATCCGGCTCTGCCTGCCAGTAGTCTGGCACTAACCCCAAGACCTGGCTTCGCCCACCAGTAGGCAGATAACACCCTGGAGTCTTCTAGATCCTGACTCTGCCCACCAGTGAGCCAGCACTAGCCCTGGGGCTCCCTGGAGTTCTGCAGTCAGCAGCCTTGTGACCAGGCCCTACTAACCAGCAGCCAACAGCTCCATACAAGGCAGAACCTGGCAAACAAAGAGACCAGGGCCAACTAAGCCTATCAGACACCCACATAGCCCGCCACAACAGAAGGAACCACACAGCCCCCACAGGGGGAACCCCTAGAGCACACAGCTTGGATGATGAGAGGGGCATGTACGACTGGGATGCACAGGACGTCTCCTGCAGAAGGCCACTTCTCCAAGGTTAAGAAATATAATTCATGTACCAGATACCTAAAAATACAAACAGCAACTTAGGCAAAATGAGGTGACTGAGGAAGATGCACCAGACAAAGCAACAAGATTAAACCTCAGAAGAAGAACTAAGTGAAGTGGAGATAGGCAATCTACCCAAGAAAGAGTTCAGGGTAGCGACTGTAAAGATGACCAAAGAACTTGGGAGAAAAATGGATGCACAGAGCAAGAAGTGAGAAGTCGGGCTTCCCTGGTGGCACAGTGGTTGAGAGTCTGCCTGCCGATGCAGGGGACACGGGTTCGTGCCCCGGTCCGGGAAGATCCCACATGCCACGGAGCGGCTGGGCCCGTGAGCCATGGCCGCTGAGCCTACGCGTCCGGAGCCTGTGCTCCGTAATGGGAGAGGCCACAACAGTGAGAGGCCCGCGTACCGCAAAAAAACAAAAAAAAACAAACAAAAAAAACCCCACAGAAATTCTGATTCAGTAGGACTAGGTGGGGCAAAGAATCAGCATTTCCACCAAGTTCCCAGGTAATGCTGATGCTGCAGGGTGGAGTGGAAATTTGAAGAGGAACTCTCACTCTCAACACTGTAACTTCAGCATTGTTTGCAACTTTTATATAAAGCACATATTTCTTTAGTAACCAAAAACTAATTTCAAAGAATTGAAAAAAAAAAGAATCTTCATTGTCTTTTCAAGGACAAACAACAAAATGGGCCGGCTTTTGACTTGTGTTAATTCTTGATTGTTTTCATGATGAAGCTTATCAAAGCTACTTAATTATAAAAGAAATATACAATTGGGAAAAGTTTAAATATGGCTAAATAAGTCTGACAACCAATTTTGAATTTTTAAAAGTAAAAATCTTAGAAGGGCAAAATAACTAGAAAAATATGTGCTTTAAAGCTGTAAAAAGAAAAATCCATATTTTTACTATTTCACTTTTAGAACCACAGACAAGACTTTTAAAGTAAAGGAAAAAAAAAGATTTTAAAAGTAATATAGCTCATTCCCTTTTCTCTTGGTGTGAGCCAGTGCTTGGACAGAGGGCATGACCCACTTGGTTGAGGCCGGTGGAGCTGGAAGACTTCTCACACACAGGCAATGAAGCAAAGAAGTAAACATATTAAGGGTCCCACCCACCCTTTCTATATTATTCAATTTTTTTTTAATCAGTGCATATGTGTTGCTTTGAAAAACATTTTTAACATTTTTTAAAATAATTTTATTTATTTATTTTTGGCTGCATTGGGTCTGGGTTGCTCTGCGCGGGCTACTCTTCATTGCAGTGCGCGGGCTTCTCATTGCAGTGGCTTCTCTTGTTGTGGAGCACGGGTTCTGGACACACGGGCTTCAGCAGTTGTGGCATGTGGGCTCAGTAGTTGTGGCTCGCGGGCTCTACAGCACAGGCTCAGTAGCTGCGGCGCACGGGCTTAGTTGCTCCGCGGCATGTGGGATCTTCACGGACCAGGGCTTGAACCCGTGTCCCCTGCATTGGCAGGCAGAATCTTAACCACTGTGCCACCAGAGAAGTCCGATATTTTTAACATTTTTTAAACAGGCACTGCATACTCACCAGTGAGCAGCAGGAGAACCTTTAAGGTCTCTGATTATGTTGCCACTGAAGTCCATTCATCCCACTGTTTTGCAATTTTCATTTACTTTTTTGAGTCCCTCTTCACGCTATGAGTCCTCTGAAGTCAGGGTCACCTCCAAGCCTAGCCCATGATATTATGGCAAAGAAGTGATGTGGTCACTAAACCCATTCTCTCTTGTCCCTGGGCACACAGATGATCTATATTTTCCTTACCTTTGTCATTAAGTTGGAGCCAGGTGACTTCATTTTGTCCATGGAGTGCAAGTGAAAGTAATTTATACTATTTCCAGAACTGGGCCATAAAAATCTGCCCATCCCTCTCTGCTTCTCCCCTTTTGTAGTAAACTTGGAGGCCTCTTGTGGAAAATGGCGGCATTACAAGATAGAAGAAGACTTGGTCCCTGAATGGGTGCATGAAACAGCCTTCTCCAACACATTCACACTCATCCCACTGGCCCACACTGGACTGTGACATGAGCCAGAAATAAACCTTCATGTAATGAATCCCCTGAGATTTAGGGGTTGTTCATTATAGCAATGAGCGTAACCAGACTAATGTGGGTAGGAATTCAATAACTGCTTGAAAAATAAAGGACTTTCCTGTAGAGATCCTAGCAACAACTTGGCAAGTAGGCTAGTCTCCACAAAAACAAAGTAATCATTATTTCTTCCCAACTCATATTCTTCCCAGAAACATCTTGTTTCCTTAGATTGTTCCTAACGACAACTGTTATCACTTGACTTGAGGAGTTTAAATAGTGTTATTATTGAGAACAAATACAGAACATTTTGAATAAATTACTGTCTTGGCACCTAAGCATGAGAATTCAGCTGTTTCCTGTGAGATATACATACTTAGACCAGCTCAATTCATCCTCCTTCTAAAACATATACTTACAGATCACTTGCTATCTGCTAGGCCTGCCCTGCCCTGACGAGTGGAGGAGAGAAGATGGAAACAGCCTTCTAACCACAACAGCAAGAAGAATAGGGCAAGTTCCCCCAGGAAGAGCACGGTCAAGGCCACTGGACGGAGAGCGTGAAGAGGTGGGTCTGTCCTGCATCCAAATCATTTCGTGAACATGAGCAAGTCTCTGGCCCTTCCTGAGCTCCAGTTCCTCCTCAGTAAATAGCCTGTTTAGACAAATCTAAGGATGACACAAGCTGCACCTTCACAGAAAGCACCTCAGTCACATGATGCACGGACACGGCCTCCGAACCATTTCCAACACTGAGCGCCAGTCCACCACTAATCAGTGAAACCTGCTAGCCATCCCTGAATGAAGCATTTTCTAGGTTCCCATCAACCTTTTCTGTAATGAAAGTCAGAAACTGGGAGAAGGTCCCAAAGGGATCCACTCTCTGAACTCAGAAAGGTCTCAGAATAAAGGTTTTCTAGAGAAGCCGAGCCAGGCAGGACAGTTTTAGAGACAGCTCGTTGGGGGCTCCTGCGTTTCTTCTCCACGGCAGAGTGATTAAGGACACAGACTTGGGAGCCAGACTGCCTGAGTTTGAAGCCCGATTCCACTTATCAACTGTCAAATCTCGGGGGAGTAATGGGTGCTTTTTGTGCCTCAGTTTCCTCAACTACTGATAAAAGGCTTAAAAGGGCTAATAGTCATGAAGCGTTTGGGACAGCAGCTATTGCGTATAGCAACCCTTAAAGTATAATGCTTGTTAAATAAATGATCTGCTGAGCACCGTGACACTTCTTCACCCCAGGGGACAGTGAAAGGCTGGGGAGGAGGTAGAGAGACAAAGGTTCTGCTGAAGAGCTTAAGTGAGGATTTCTTAGACCTGATGTAGGGGCTCCAGACCTCATCCTGTTGCCCCAAATCCCCTCCAATCTCCAGCCCCCAAACAGCCTTGTTCTGAGGCCAGGAACCAGAATTGGGCACAGGACACATCCCAGCCTTTGAGATCTTTCACTGAATCTGAGACAGCCTCCTCTACCACTGTGCTCATGGTCGCCCTATGACTAAGGAAGAGCTTATATCAAAGGGTTAAACGTACTCCCACTGGGGGTGGAGGTCAATTTCCTCCCTGAAACTTAGCTCTCTGTGCTTCCTTCACTCCACCCTCAACAAACGCGCAGGATATGAAATTGCTGAGAAGTCTATTTTGAAATCTTAGCTTCCCTATTTAAAAAAATATATGTTGCCTCAATGAACATTTCTCAAAACTTCCTCAGCCCAGGAGCCTCCGAAGCCCCTACCAGGCCAGCTCTCCTCCCGCAGCCACTCCCTTCACAGGAGGATGAGGGTCTGCATGGCAGCCACATCCCTCCCCCTCCTCCTTGTCCTCATCTCCGTCGCCCTGGGGTCCAAGACTGAATCCGATTCAAGTGAGTGCAATACCTTCCAACCTGGTTCTTGTGGGTAAACAAGCACGAGTAGGGTTGCCGGGGATACAAGGAGAAAAGGGCTCTAGAAGGAGGTCTGGTGTCTTCTTTTTTGTGTTATTGAAGTATAGTTGCTGTACAATGTTATATAACTTACAGGTGTACGATAGAGTGATTCACAATTTTTAAAGGTTATACTTCATTTATAGTTATAAAATATTGACTGTATTCCCCATGTTGTGCAATATATCCTTGTAGCTTGTCTTATACCTAATAGTTTGTACCTCTTAACCCCCTACCTCTACTTTTCCCCTCCCCACTGGTAACCACTAGTTTTCTCTCTATATCTGTGAGTCTGCTTCTTTTTTGTTATATTTACTAGTTTGTTATATTTTTTAGATTCCACATATAAGGGATATCCTACAGTTATTTGTCTTTCTCTGTCTGACTTATTTCACTTAGCGTAATGCCCTCCAAGTCCATCCATGTTGCTGTAAATGTCAAATTTTCATTCTTTTTTATGGCTGAGAAGTATTCCGTTGTATGTATATAAGGTCTTGTGTCTTTCTCACCCTGTGCGGGATGAGTCCCCTTCCTGTCAATGCCATGTGCCTGGCAGTGAGGCCAGGCTATCTCTTCACTCCCTCAATTCACCTCTCTTTGCCATTAAGCAAAAGACTGGCTCATCCCATTTGGGGTCATTATCCCCAGGGAGACTGAGGAACAGTATTTGGAGCCTGTCGAGGCCACTATGTCCATTTACCTCCTGGGATTTGCACCCAGGCTGCTTCCAGGGTCCTCCCTACCCCACGAGTGCAGCATCTTTTAGTTATGTGGTAGGGGGAAATGCAACAGTTGGGGGTGTCCCCAGGCCACCTTTTTTCAGCTTATTTCTTAAGATGAGCTGCCTTTACAGCAGCCAAAACTATTCCTCACTCTGCAATTTTACTTTATTTCCTTTTCAGAAACTGAAGGGAAACATAGAAGGCTGTTGAAATAAAACTAGACTAAAGTTGACGGAATCTGGACAGTTTGATTTGCCTCTCTGAGAATTCACTCAGACAGCTCAGAGGAATGCAGTGGCAGTGGTTCCCGGGGACCAGCGGGTCCCTTATTTCACTCTTTGGGGAGTGAGGATGCTGCTGGCAATGGTGCTGGATAAGAGGACCAGCCCTTCCCTTTCCACCCAAGCACCCGGTCACTGTCGGTGACCCCGAGGTCATCGCTGTGCACACCCACATTTCTGTCCAGGTTGGTCACATAACATGCACAGCCCCAATCACTGCACCTGCTAACTGCAGGGTCCTTGATCTGAAACGCCCTTACTGCTACCCCCATAATTCAATCTCGGTGTGACTTTGCTGTCACCCCCTTGCACCTCCTGTAAGAGCCATGAAATTTCAGAATCAAAAAATAACTGAAAAATAGTGATTTTTTAGAAAGTGTTTTAGATCAGGAAACCTTCTCTTCAAGCAAAATCTCACACAGGAGGCCCAAAATGTAAAACAGACAAAAAGGCTGATGGGGTCTTATACCCAAGACTGAACTCCCAAGTGCATCAGTGCCTCCAGGAAACTTCATGTAAAGACCATCAATCCAGTTAACCACCTCTTCACAGATGGGGAGACTGAGGAGGGAATGAGGGGTGAGGGGCGCAAAGCCAGCAGAGGTGAGGTGGGGTGTTCTGCAGATCTGGGTGTCCCGGCCCCCGGGCCATTGTCTTCGGGGCTTGGTATGGGCATCCTGCCCTCTTTGCAGGGAACGGGCAGGATGGGGACACTGGGAGGGGCAGGGTCTGCATTCCCAAATGGCATGTATCCCAAACCCTGTTGGGATTTCTTCCCACATCCCTCCTTTTTGGAGCATCTCTGCCAGCTGCCCCCAGGGATGGCGTGGGCTCACTGAGATCTGGGCTTTGCTGCTCTTCCATCTGGAGTTCAAAGTCATCAGCCAGTCCTTCTGGGGTGGGGATGTGGGGGTGGAGAATGGAAAGCAGAGTGATCACTAATGAAGGAAGAGGGAAAGGGGAGCCCCGGGAAGAGTCTGAAGGGGAGACCAGAGGACTGAGTTTTTTCTACAGCCCTCTCTTGGAATTCTGGGGGCTGTCCCCTCCTTCCTTCCCTCTTCCACCTGCTCGGGGGCAGAGGCAGCCAGCAGCTGTCACCTTTAACAAATGTCCCGATCTGGGACTTCCCTGGTGGCGAAGTGGTTAAGAATCCGTCTGCCAATGCAGGGGACACGGATTCGAGCCCTGGCCCGGGAGGATCCCACATGACGTGGAGAAAAACGCCCGTGCGCCACAACTACTGAGCCTGTGCTCTAGAGCCCGCGAGCCACAACTACCGAAGCCCGTGCGCCTAAGAGCCTGTGCTCCGCAACAAGAGAAGCCACCGCAATGAGAAGCCCGCGCACCGCAGCCAAGAGTAGCCCCCGCTCGCCGCAACTAGAGAAAGCCCGCGCGCAGCTTTCTCTAGTCTCTCTTTCTTCGCGTTGCGAAGACCCAACGCAGCAAAAAATAAACAAATAAAATAAATAAGTTTATTTAAAAAAACCAAACAAACAAGTGCCCTGATCTCAGCTTCCCTCCATGCTTTCTCCTCAGGAGGACCTTACCCCGCCACCGAGTGCTGCTACAGCTACCTGACCCGGCCAATCAGGAAGCACTGGATTTCACGCTATTATGAGACCGGCGGCCTGTGCTCCAAGCCTGGAATTGTGTAGGTGGCACCCATACACCACACTGGGGGAGGGGGAGCCAGCAGGGCCCGGGTAGGGGAGAGGAGGGCAGGGAGAACACAGAATGGGTGCTCCCCAGGGTGCTTCTCAGGAATGTCCACGCAGGGAGAGGCAGTCGGGAGGGAACCTGGGGGCTTCTGGGCTGTCTGGGGCCCGCTGGGGCCAGGAGGAAGCTGGTGCCATGGATGGGGAGGTGTGGGGGAGGGGAAGGGAGGCAAGGGGCACTTCCTGGGTGGGGACACCGAGACTAGATGGGCCCAGGGGCCCTGAGGGGCTGAAGGGCATGCCTCAGAAAGGACGCTGGCCCTGGGCTACCTCTCACTAAGGAAGGAGAACCAGTCTGGGTTGGATGAGGAATTTGTGAGGAAGGGAGGATGAGCTCTTGCTTCCTGGCTGCTGGACCCTTGGTTTGTCATCCTTCTCCCCTCTTGTTCCACAGCTTCATCACCAAAAATGGCCGTCAATTGTGTGCCAACCCCAGCGATGACTGGGTCCAGGACTATATCAAAGGAGCTGGAGGAGATCTGAGTGACCCAGAAGTAGCGAGAAGGACACAGCTCAGAATTTAAAGAGATGGGGCTGAACTCCACTCCCAATTTAGCCCCAGACACCTCCTGGGAGCTGCCCTGCCTTGAATTAAAGACCATCATGCCCTTCCCTGCACTCGTTCATTTCTACTAAATTGCCCATTGGCAGTAGACTTGAGGACACTGGTGAGCCCAGCTCAGGGTGGCACTCTCAGCCTCAAGCATCACTCTGCAAAAGTTTGGCCAGAGCCTGGTGCCAAAAAATGGGTCAGGTCTCCGATGGAGGTAGAGGAAAACTGAGCAGAAAATGAGGAAGACAGTGTAAAAGCTACCTTTACACAATAACAACCACAATCATAACAGATTCCATTTTTGTAGCGCCGTCTATATTCTAAGCACTCTGCTAAGCAGTTTGTGTGCATTATCTTATTTAAGCTTCACAAGTGTAAAGCTAAGAATTATCACCTGATTTTGCAGGTAAATCTTCATAAAGGCCTCTCTATAGCAAACTCCATAGTCTTTTTCTGGGCTGGTCTCAAGGCCTCTGTTCCCTGCTGACTGGGATAGGAATGACTCATGGAAATATTTTATCCAATTCTTGCCCGTCCACTTACATACATCAGGTTGCACTCTATTGTTTTACTCAGTTTTGTGTCCTGCACAAGGCATAGCAAAAAGCCTGACCCACACCAGGTGCTCAGGAAGTGGATAGATGGATGGATGGTGGATGGATAGTCAGATGGGTAGATGGATGGATGGATGGATGGTGGATGGATGGGTGGATGGATGGGTAGATGGATGGATGCGTGGATAGATGGAATGATTCAGGAGTCAAGAGGAAGCTTATGCTCCAGGAATAACACTCAACTGCCCCCAAAGGGGGGGATGCCCCCATCTTCCAGGTTCAAGAAGGAGCTCTGCATACAAAGAGGAAGAGCACATCCAGTGTAGGCACTATGACCACCCTTCCTGGCCTCCAGCCCTCCACAGACAAGGGCCAGGAGGGTGCCTGCACACTGAAGGTATAGCAGACTTCCTCAGACCTTCTCTCCTCCATAAACAGAGGTCAATGGGGTATCTCACACACGTACCCTCCCTAGCTTCATAAAAAGCCACAGCTTCACCACCACTGACTGTCTTGAACACACCAGGACTAACTGCATTGTATGTTTTTTTCCTGTTTATAAGCAGTCATGCCAAACAGCAAGCCCCACAGGTATCTTCATAGTCCTTGTTTTTCCCCTGCCTCCCTCTACTCCCATCTCCTGAAACACTCCCTCACATCTCTAAAACTCACAGTGCATCAAAGGCAAAATCCCCTGTATCTTTCATTTCTTCTCTGCACGCTGCCTTCAGCCTGGAACAGGGCTCTGAGGCAGTCTGAAGAGCTAAGATGCTGAGGGGCAGGTCCAGGCTTAGACAAAGGTGGGGGTGGGCCGCAGCTGGAACTCCGGACCCAGAAGCAGGTTGTCAGGTTCATGAGGTTGGGGTGCCCTCTGCTGGCCATGACTGGCCATGGTGGCAGATTGAATTAACCCACACTGAGGGCACCCAAAAGGGATCAGCTAATTAGACGTAAAACTGGTTCCGAGTCCAAGGTCCAAAGAGATAAATGAGAACATTGATAAATAAGCCAAACATTTCAGCAACAAACAGGGGCCCAAGGATCAGGCACTGTGGGGGCTGGGGGGTGGTATTTGTAGCATAATCTGTGACAAGAAAGAGTGTGAGCTCAATCATGTGTCCTTGGCGGGGGTGGACACACATCCTTTTCCGAGGGCACTAACCCTACCCTTGCCTCGGTCTGTGTTCTCTCTAATCCGGCTTTCTGTTTGCCCTCCCAAAGACCGATCACCTGGGGAAATAGTCAGTTCAACCCTCCTCCCTCCTCCTTCCCCAACATAGAGATGGGGGCAGGGAACATGGTGAAACCGCACGGATCTGGTTTTCAGGACTGCCTATCTGTCTCCTACCCATGTGACCTTGGAGAATTTATTTAACCTCTCTAAGCCTCAGTGGCCTCATTTGCAAAATGGGAGTGAAAATCTCTACTCCCCGCTGGGAGGATTAAGTGAAGTGGGGCTTGCCAGGTGCTGACACATGGCACGTTCTCCACACTTTCCCTTTCTCTCTTTTTTCCTTCACACGGATTCAAACCTTACCGAATTCAACTCTGCTCCAGACCCCGCCCTCCACCGCCCTCCCCTTCAGCAAACACCGAGGGAGGGGCCGTTGTCTCTCCTCCTCCGCCCGCTAAAGTGGTCAGAGTCCAGAGAGCTGAGGGCCCAGCGTGGATGACCAGGAAGGAGACTGTCTCCGTTTAGCCTCTGAAGCCCAACTGCCCCACTGAGAGGATGAAGGTCTCCGCAGCTGCCCTCTCTCTCCTCAGCTCACCATTACTTCTGCCATTCACAGCCAGGCAAGTGAGTCCACCTGTCCCTGAAGGGCGGCAGTGAGAAAAGGGAACGGGGCAGCAGGCAGCGAGGTGATGCTAAGAGTGCTGTCAGGTCTCTGTCACCAGCCCTGGGGCCTCTCCCCTCCTGCACACAGAGCTGCTGCCTTCAAACTCTTCGCTTTGTAAGTAGAGCTGAGCTGTGGTCCAGATCCTTCTGGGGTTGGGCAGTTTCAGGAAGCTGGGTCAAGGTTACATCAGGAATCCCAAAGACAGACAGCAGGAACGATCATTTAGGAGGAAAAGCCAAGGAAGAAGCAGAAGAGATAATAAATGTACGCAATGAGGAGGGAGGCAAGGCAAGTGGATGAAAAAAGCCATAGATCCTCTGGGAGGGCAGGATGAAGGGAGTCAGGGATGAGTGATGTTTGAGGCTAAGCCCAGGAACGGGGCGTCTGAACCTAGACACCCCTTGCTCGCAGTGTCTGTTGTAGTTTGCTGGGACTACCACGGCAGCCAAAAGAAGTCCTGGTGGGATGCCCACGTGTACCATTTGTGGGTTTCTGGGCCCCTATCTCCATCCTCCAGCCTAGGACTAAATAAAGTCTGGAGAAAAGAGAAAAGGGGTTGAAGGAAGTTGAGAGGTTTTGGAACTATGGGATGCTTGGGACCTATGGAGAATGGGGCTTGTTTTGCCCACCCCCTAACTCTGCCTCTACCATCATTTATGAGGGCTGGTGACAGGGACGGGACCAAGGCACTCAGGCCTTCTACATACCCGCCTCCAACTGCCCCAGCCCTTCCTTTGTCCCTAAGGCTGCCCTTGGCATATAGTCTGGCCAGATTCTGCCTGTGTAAACACTCAGGGGAGAGAGGGTCACACACACCATGTAATCTGCCCACACGCTCTCAGGGTGCCCCTGGTCTTTGTAAACGTTGCCTTGAGAACCAGGGCCACTGTGGGTAGAGGTGCCTCTGGTGGGTGGGATGGGGCAACAGTGCCCTTCGGGAAGGTCAAGCAGGAAGAGAAAATGGCCCACCCAAAGCACGGGTCAGGCAAATGATTCTCTCGAGAAGTCTCAGGCTTTGCCACCAGCTGGAAGCGAGGGTCAGGGATTTGCACTCTGCAGGTTTGGGGGCCGGGTGAGGTGATATCCCCAACTGATGAGCAGTCAGGGGAGCCCAAGGGAGACACAGTGATAACCTAGCCGAGTCTCGTATCCTGCGAGTGTCGAAGAGAGGGGGAAAGAGCCATTTCCAGGCCAGAAGAGTGGCCATTACAACCCTTAGCTCTTCATCACAGCAAGCGCTGAGTCTTTCTGTGCCAGACTCTGAGTTAAGGGCTTTACAAGCATTCTCTCAACTAATCCTCACCACGATCCTAGGACGTAATTTTTTACCCTCATTTAACGGGTAAAGACACCCAGAGATTAAGAAATTTGCCCATGATTCAAGTCACTAAGTCGAGACTCCAGCCCAAGCTGTCTGACTCTGAAGCCTAAATATAAGCCTTTTCCTCCCGCCCTGACTTCTGCCCATCTCCCCATCTCAGCCTCCTCCCTGACCTCAGCCTCTCTGGTGCCTCTAGCACAGAATCCAGGCTCCCTATCACAGCTCAGAAGAGGTGTGGCCCTCCCCTCCCCCGTCAATATCCTCCCTTCCTACATCTTCCTTCCCACCTTGCATTGCAGCCTCCTGGAACTGTTCCGTCCCCCCAGACACACTGGGCTTCCCCCACCTCAGGCCTCCATACATTTCTTTTTTCCAGATCCCACAACCCCTCTGTCTGCCTAAATCCTACTCATCCTTCAGGAATCAACTCAGGCACAACCTGCTGTAGGACTTCTTCCTCAACCACCCAGGCTGGGTTAGGTACCCCTCATTCTGTTCCCATAGCATCTTGTGTCAAATTCTACTCTATCCCAGACCACGTTCTATTGTAGCGTTTATCTTTTCACTTTCCCTTTTTACCCAGACTGGTCTGTAAGGTACACAAGAGCAGTGACTGTGTCTTCCTCATGTTCTGAACCCCATAGAGCCTGGCGTGTAATAGGAGCTCAATATGTGTTTGCCAAGTCAAGTTCATCAGCAAATGTGATTACCCCAGTCCTCTGTACTTGGTGACACTCAGTCCAGAGGCTGAAGGTTCTACACAAGGTTCAGCTTTTTCACTTTCTCCATTATCCATCAGGCTACCATCAGTCCCTGCTGATAAATGGCTTTGCCATCAGAAAAGCGGAATGCAAGAGATGGGACATGGAAGTGGGCAGCCATGGGCTCCCTCTCTACCTCCTTGGCTCAGCATTCAACGTCATTCCCTCAGAAATTCCTGAGTCGGTGAACCCTCCACCCACCTGCTGCCTGAAGTATCATGAGAAAGTATTGCCAAGAAAAGTGGTGGTGAGATACAGAAAGGCCCTCAACTGCTGCCTGCCAGCAATCATGTAAGCACCGCTCTGCAGACATTTCTATGGAGAGGGAAGGGGAGCCCAAGGCTGGAATGGGGTGCACAGAACCAAGTCTCCATGCTAGAACAGGGCAACAGTGGTTAAGGGCCTGGGCTTTGACTCTCACAGGACAGGCCTGGGTTTCGTTCTTGATTTTTGCCACTTATAGTTGTGTGGCCCAAGAAATGGTGGCCAAAATGAAACCCAAGCCTGAGGGTCTAGGCTGAGTGGGGAAGGGGCTGAATGAAGAGATGAGGTCTAGAGGCCAGAGAGGGAGGCCTTCTGAGGGGACCCAGGTGGGGGAGGCCTAGGGAGGTGGTACAGGGCATGAGGCAAGCCCGCTGTGAGCTAGAAGTGTCGACTGGACCCCCAACATACTCTATGACCCATGACAGTCTAACTCTGCCTCCACAGCTTCATCACCAGAAGGAAACGAGAGATCTGTACCAACCCCAATAACGAACGGGTCCAAGAATACATCAAGGATCCCAGACTACCTTTGCATCCTTCCAGGAAGTTGGTCTAGGTTAACATTATTCGATCTGAGAAAGGTCAACCCCAGATCCTCAACTGCCCATGGTGGTCAGGCCTCAGTGGGAGCCCAAGTTTGGGGGAAAAATGGTGCAACCCTGTGAAAATGCAGGCAGCCTTGTGGTCTGAATGACAGAGTTACATTCAGAGAAGCAGGCCAGTGATCCCACAAAGTAAAGTTTCAAATATATTCCCAGTCTCTGGAGGACATGCCAAAGTTAAGGGAGGAGAGCAGGGATACATTCTTAATGCACAGAAAAGCATCTTTCACATCCTCCTCCTTGCTCTGCTTTCAGATCCTCACATCACTGCAGCCGTTCTAAATGATCAGACCACCTCTAGCCTCTCACTCACTGAGACCCAGAGGACTCAAGACTTTTCCTGTCCACCCTTATCCCTTTTCTAGGTCTCTTTTTTCTTCTATTATCTTTTCTTTTAAAAAGTAACTTTTTTCTTAGCAGGCCAGGGTGGGAATATTCAAATACTAGTGATTTTTGTCCCTGTTGCAGAGGTTTTGCTGGATCCCCTGATATCGGGTCCTCCCCAGGGTGACGTGTGTACAGACAGTGCCAAAACAGAAAAGGAGGTGTGAATCCCTAGCTCCCACTCTAAGCTTTGCATGGCAAGGGAAGGGCATTAGACCAGGTTGGGGATAAAAATCTTGATCTAAAATGCAACCATTCAATAAATAAAATTTGCTTTATTGCCAATTTGATTTCTAATTTCCTGCCTGCTCTCTGCTAGGGTGGCAGAAACTTAATCAAAGTTTTTGCAGGGGCTTCTCCACATTCCCCTGAGAAATTTGTCAATTTGGGGGACTGGGAAGTTTACATGGTACCAAGCCCAGACATATATACCCAATCTCCCCTTCTCCCTACCCCTCTGTCCCCAGCTCAACAACAGGGAGTGGACTCAGACAAAATCCAACATTCCTGCAAAATGGTGTTATGCAGGCAAAGCAAAATCAGGCAAATAAGCTATTTAATTAGAGAAACAAATAAATTTGCTTAAGTGATCATTCTGAAGACTGGCCATCCAAAGACTTAGATTCTGATAAACTGACCCATGCCTGCCCCCAGTGGCCCCCAGTGGTACTGCATCATCCTGCCTCCCTGCCTCCCCACCACAACTGAAGCTAATGGATCCAGATGGCCACCTGACTCCAGATGGCCAATGAGACTGTCTCTTAGAAAGATGAAATTTGGACCAGAGAAACGAGTACTGGTTGCTGTTCGAGCATCGTCCCGAAGGAAGTTCATTGTCCCTATGAACTCATCCACTGAAGCCCCTGGAGCTGCCCTACTTCCTGTCCCCACTCCAGGCTTGGAGGTTTGGTTAATCTCAATTCCATGAGATGCCCCAGCATTCCTCCCACTATTCCTGTTTTGTTTTAACTCCTAAAGGACCATGGTGGTATTTAGCACCTCCAGAATAACTTTTCGTTGGTTTAGGTCAGTTCTGGTTTGTGTGTGTTAAAACATTCGCAACATTTTTACCATGTTTAAGTGTACAATTCAGTGGCACTAAGTACTTTCACATTGCTGTGCAACCATCACCACTATCCATCTCCAGAAGGTTTTCATCACCCCAAGCTGAAACTCTGTACCGGTAAACAACAGCTTCCCACTCCTCCCTCCCCACAGCCCTCAGGAACCACTATTCTACTTTCCGTCTCTATGAACTTGACTCCTCTAGGTACCTCATATAAGTGGAATCATACAGTATTTGACGTTTTGTGACTCGCTCATTTCACTGAGCGTAATGTTTTCCAAATGTATCCATGTTGTCAGGATTTCATTCCTTTCTAGGCCTGAATAATATTTCATTGTATGTATCTACCCTGTTTTGTTCATTCATTAATCTGTCCACAGGTATCTGAGTACCCGCTTTTCTTTACATGAGGCAGAGTTAGCAGGTCTTGGGTTCTGTTACTTGTGCCAAAATCACTTTAACTTGTGCAGTTACCTGTCAATCACCACGCTGGCTGGGCAGGGGCTCGGGGCAGGTAAGGGACCAAGGCTCTGGCTTTCCCCTTGTTCCCCCACAGGGGTCACTGCTACCTGCTCTAATCCCCCCCCCAGGCTGTGAGCTGCTCCTGTATCCAGGGATTTCTCTCCACCCTCCCTGCGATCAAAGCTGAGAGCTTACAGCTGACTGTGACCAAACATCCTCCTCCAGGAGCTCACATCCCAGGGATGACAGAATCACCAACAAATACAACATAGCCAGGCTGGACCTTTGCTCACAGGGGCCAGAGTGAACATAGAGGGGTGGCAGGGCTTGGACTGACACAGGAGCCAGACTAAGTTCAGTGTGTACACCCAAGCAGGAGGTTTCAGAGTCCTTAGCCAGCGTGAGGGTCAAATCAGGGAACCCGAGTTCAAAGGCCTTAGGGACAAACTGAGGCTGCAAACAAGAAGCAAAGGCCAGGATCAGGATTCTGGCAAAAGCTGGAACGGAAATGTCATTATTTGTCTTTTTTCTTTTCTTTTTTTTTTTCTTTTGGTCTATCAGAGGAGTTCAGGGTTGAGATGTCAGTCCAGAAACCTAATTGAAAATCTATATACAAAGTCAAATTCTTACCCTAGCACATAATATAAAGCTTGCCAGAAACTCCTAATAGTTCAGGACCAAAAGTACTTATCTCAGGTGCATTCAATTGTCTTTTGTTGGGTTTTTTTGTTTGTTTTTATTTTTTGGCCGCTCCGCTCTGAATGTGGGATCTTAGTTCCCACCAGGGATCGAACCTGTGCCCCCTGCAGTGGAAGCACAGAGTCTCAACCACCGGACCACCAGGGAAGCCCCTCAATTGTTTTTAAAGAGGGCTATTCCTAGGCTTTTCAAGGTAGATAAATGCCTGGCTTTAAACATTCACGTGCATGAACACAGACACACACACAGGAAGGACCTCCTCATCCTGACACATAGGGGTCTCCCAGCCCTGATCATCCTACATTGAAGACCTCACCCACATTAACCTATGCCCAGACAGCTTACATGACTGTCAGCCTTGTGGATGAAGGTGATCGACTGGAAGGGCGTGAACAATAAGGCCTGGAATAGTGGGGTTTCCACTCCTGTGTCAGAGAAAGGGGTAGTAAGTGGTGAAGGCCACATACAGCAACATGAGGAACCAGTGCGTGGGACAGGAAGGGAAGAAAGTGAGGAAGCAGCTCTGGGCAGTACAAAGAGCATCTTACCTGGCACCGAGAGGTCTGGCCGCACGCCCCCTCTCGGGCATCCATCTAGTGCAAGTGAGGATTTGCATGGGACAACCAGATGTCCCGCGGCTAGTTCTGGCTGGCCTGTAAGAAATGCTATTCGGCCTTCGGAGCAGCCTCCTGAGACGGGCCAGACGAGCAAGCATTTCCCCTGTAGAAAATACACGTGTGCCTGCACCTGTATGTGACTAACTACTGAAAGTCACCAGCAGCCTCAATGAGGATATGGGGGACACAGTTGATGCAACGGTTTAAAAGCACTGGCTCCACACTCAGCAGACAAATCCAGGTTCAGATCCCAACTCTGCCTCTTACCCTGACAGTAAAATGCTGTTAGTCTTTTAGCAGATAGAACAAGAATCCCTCTCGTGGAGGAAACAACCATTGTTTAGAAAATGTGTCTGTAATCCCAGTGAAGGCAGGAACCTCTCCCAGGACATAGACTGGGACCAAGATTTCAGGGGAAGGGATGAAATTGCTCTGCGTGAACCAAGAAAAGTAACTGTTTTGCCTTTGAAAGCCAGAGGTGTGAGACAGGGCCAGCAACTCTAGACCAGAGATTGGAAAATGTGAAGTAAGTCACTGGGGATTCACGGAAGTCTTGTGAAAGCTTTGGATTCCCCTAGACTGTAAGAACTGGAGAAGTGGAAAGACCCCCAAGCAGCTCTCAAGGTCCAGGGACATGACTGGATGGCTACTTTAGGTGGGGTGGTGAGGAAAGGCCTTACTTTGGGGGTGACATGCTCCTTGAGAGCTAAGTGACCAGAGCAAATCAGCCATGTGAGGACTGATGGGAAGAAAACTTTCCAGGCAGAAGGCATAACCAGTGCAACAGCCCTAGGCAGGAGCCCGCTTGGCCCAGGGGACAGTGTGGCTGGAGCACAGGGGTGAGAAGGAGACCAGCATGCGCAGTGGTTACACCCAGTGTTGACACTCAGCCAGCTCCCCTCTGGAGCTGCTGGAGCTTTGACACATCGTAATAAATTAAAATGTAACCAGCTCACTGGGGTCCAGAAATGGTCGTCTGCTCAGAAGCTCTCTAATGCCCCCAGAAGGCCATCCTAGCCTTTGGCTAGGGCCTCCTGGGGACAGGGATCTCCCAAGTGAAGACCTGTTCTCCCATCCAGCAGCCGTAGCCCGCTTCCCCAGCTCAGTCCTGCCAGCCTTTTCCAAGTCCTTTCTGAGTCATCCTCCTTGCCCTGCTTTGACAGGCTAGGAACCAAGGTGACCCCTGTCCTTGGGCATCCTTGTACGCAAAAAGACTCCAGCTCGAGGTCCCCAGTCGCTGGGAGAGCTGATTAAACTTGGTGCAACCCCAATGCCACAGCCTCGTGGAAGTCCAGGACCCCCCACTCCACTGCCAAGATTTCCTTCCGTTCCTTTGGCCTGTTTTCTCCTTCCCCAATCTCCCTCCCCAATCAGGAGTCCCACACCAGCTCAGCAGCAGGTATCACCTTGCTGGATCTCCTCCTTGGTAAACCAGTTTCTCTCCCTGCCCAAGAAAGAAGGCAGGGCCAGTGCCTCCTCAGAAGGAGGAAGGCATGATGTAGAGACAGGCGGAGAACCTGGAAACCCTGCCCCTTCCACCCCAAGAGGAGTGGCAGAGGAGTAGAGAGTGAGAGCTCAAGACAAACAACCAGAGAGCAGTGTGTCATGAAATCCTCCCTTCAGACCAGAGGTTGGAGGGAAACCTGAATTCAGAGAACCTTGTGTCCAGCCCTAGTAATTGTGGTGCATACATACAACGGGATACTACACAGCAAACCACTGATAAATGCAATACGAATGGATTTCACAGATGTGATTTGGAGTAAAAGAGTCAGACCCATAAGAGTAAATACTAGGTGTCCATTTACATGAAATTCAAGGACAGTCAAAACAGTCATAGACATCAAAGAGTGGTTACCTTTGTGGGATGGATATTCCCTACAAGAGAACGTGAGGGAGGGAATTCCCTGGTGGTCCAGTGGTTAGGACTCTGCACTTCTACTGCCTGGGGCCCAGTTCAGGGAACTAAGATCCCACAAGCCCTGTGGCGTGGCCAAAAAAAAAAAAAGAGAGAGAGAGAACATGAGAGAAACTTCTGGGATGCTGAAAATGAGGCTGGGTGATGGCTACACAAGTATTGATATATCCATGTGCCAAAATTCATCAAGCTGTAAGATTTATGCACTTTGCTCTATGCAAGTTACACCTCAATAATCTTTTTAATAAGGAGCTGGGGGAGTGGTAAAGCAGAGACAGCAGTTTTGTACTCTGCTCCCTTGGGAGCTGCACATCTATCAAGATAAAAACAGCTGGGATTGTGCAGAGGGCATGATGTAACCACACGTGACTGTCTGGCCATATTCTACTACTCCCTGTAGTATATTCTACACTGTACTTTATATGGCATTTTTAAATGGGAAAGGGGATGGAGAAATGCCCCTGGCTATAGAGGGGCATGACCATTAGGGACTAACCCAGGTTACCAGATCTACACACATGCAAATGCAGGACACACCGCTCATAGGAGTTAACAGTGGAGAAGGAAGCCCTATTGGAAGGGAGGCTTCCACATTTTATTTATCCTGATAGGATATTTGGGGGTATTTTCCTGTTGTTATCCCCTCTTCCCTTCCCTCATTCAAGCAGATAGTCTGCACCATGCAGCTCCTGCATCCCTCTCAGGGGAGAGAGAAGGCAGGGCAGAGAGCAAAACTGAAGGTCTCTTTGGCTTGTGTGTTCTAAAAGCTTAAGCCCCCTGCACAAAGAATAAAACAAGATTCAGGGTTTCCCTGGTGGCGCAGTGGTTGAGAGTCCGCCTGCCAATGCAGGGGACACGGGTTCGTGCCCCGGTCCGGGAAGATCCTACATGCCGCGGAGCGGCTGGGCCCGTGAGCCATGGTCGCTGAGCCTGCGCGTCCGGAGCCTGTGCTCCGCAACGGGAGAGGCCACAGCAGTGAGAGGCCTGCGTACCGCAAAAATAAATAAATAAATAAATAACAAGATTCAAAGCATATTTCCTTAATGTCTTCACCAGAATTATTAAAGAGTATGGATTTCTTCCAGGATGAAAAGAGAGTCCTGTTGGGAGTTTGGGGTTAGTAGATGCAAACTATTACATTTAGAATGGATAAACAGGGATTTCCCTGGTTGTGCAGTGGTTAGGACTGCACGCTTCCACTGCAGGGGCACGCAGGTTTGGTCCCTGGTCAGGGAACTAAGATCCCATATGCCGCGCGGAGCAGTCAAAAATAATAGAATGGATAAACAACAAGGTCCGACTGTATAGCACAGGGAACTATATCCAATCTCCTGGGATAAACCATAATGGAAAAGAATATTAAAAATAATGTGTATATGTGTATAACTGAGTCACTTTGCTGTACAGCAGAAATTAACACAACGTTGTAAATCAACGATATTTCAAGTTAAAGAAAAAGATAATGAAACGCTCTTTAAAAAAAAAACAAAAAAAAAACCAGGGACTTCCCTGCCGGTCCAGTGGTTAGGATTCCAGGCTTTCACTGCCAGCGACCCGGGTTCAATCCCTGGTCAGGGAACTAAGATGCCGCAAGACACGCAGAGTGGCCGAAAAAAAAGAGAGTCTTGGTTTGGGCTGGAGGGAGGCAGGTGCAGCCTGGGCATTCCAGCGTCACTGCCAGGAAGCAGGTGTAAACAAAGATAAACAAAGAGCACTGCTCACCACCCAGTTCTACAAGGATTAGGTCATAACCCACAGCAGTCGCTGGCTGACAGCACACTCTGAGAGGATATTAAGACAACAGGATGACGCACTCTGTGCTTCGGACAAGCAGGCCCCTTTGTTAGCTAGATATTTATCTCAGGAAGAATTTTAATGCACCCAGATTCTCACATCTTCCCATACACAGAAAAGCACTAGAATCATTAACTTGAGATACCTTTTCTTTGTGTCTAGCAGTAATCTTTTACAAAGATGTCTCCTTGACCGTATGTATTCTCTAGCCAGAAATCATACATGTACCAGTTTCTCCCCCACCTCTTCAGAGCAGTTTTCTCAGAGCGGCTGAGAGGTTGTCTCCCAGGCTATAGTCCTCAGTAAGTCCCGGAATGAAACTTGAACTCACAACTCTTTTTTTAATTTATTTTATGTATTTTTGGCTGCATTGGGTCTTTTTTTTAAGTTATTTTATTTTATTATTTTTTAATTTTTTTTTAAGATTTATTTATTTTTATTTTTGCTGCATTGGGTCTTCACTGCTGTGTGCGGGCTTTCTCTAGTTGCAGCAAGCGGGGGCTGCTCTTCATTGCCGTCCTTGGGCTTCTCATTGTGGTAGCTTCTCTTGTTGCAGAGCATGGGCTGTAGGCACGCAGGCTTCAGTAGTTGTGGCACACGGGCTCAGTAGTTGTGGCTCGCGGGCACTAGAGCACAGGCTCAGTAGTTGTGGCGCACGGGCTTAGCTGCTCCGTGGCATGTGGGATCTTCCCGGACCAGGGCTTGAACCCATGTCCCCTGCATTGGCAGGCGGATTCTTAACCACTGCACCACCATGGAAGCCCAAACTCACAACACTTGATACTGTGTGTTTATCTTGAAGTCGACACAGGGAGACCCAAAGAAGAAGGGCTGTGGAGAACATCCAGGCAGATGGGCCACAGCAGCCCTGGGGCAGGTCTCCGTGTCCTCAAGTGTGACCCCAAACTATCGGAACACCACCAGACCCCCACTAACCCCAGGGAGGATGACTCAGCAGTAACTAGTGGGGACAGATCATCATATGGGCCCCCCAATGCCTGGAACACCCTAGAAAGGCTGAGGTTAAAGTGTCCCACCAGGCCAGCAAAAAGGCAGGCTAAAAATACACATCAGACTAGGTTATAGTGGTAAAGTTTTCTTTCCTATAAACCCGAGTCTGTGGACTTAGAGTCCAGCTACAACTCTAGGTACTTCTGCATTATTTGAATCTGTTTTGATGATCTGAATCTCTTCTATGTTTGTGTTTTACTTGCATAATTTTCATTAACTTTTGTTACCCTGTGTCTCTGGCACGGAGACCCACAAGGAAGGAGTCCGCTGAGGGTGTTCCCACTGTGGCCTCCCTGCCACTTTGGTGTGACCACAGACTCCCTTGACCCTTCATCCCGAGGCTGAACCACAGTGGGACCTCTGGCTGCCTCCCCCCTGGGCTCAAAGAGCAGCCTGTGGCTCCTGGCCGCAGGACTGGCAGGGTGCCTTCCCACCTGCTTTCCTACAGAACAGAGTCCCTGTCAGCACCACCGCCCCACCTTCCCCCCCACCCCGGCCCCGGGGGAGAGGGGGGACGGGGAGGGCCCATTCCTCTCCAGCCAAGCTCCAGAAATCCCCCTCTGCCTAAGCAGCCCTGGCCTTGCTTAGTCTTGTGCTTACCTCTCACAACGGCAGGGGACCGTCCTCCCAATTCTGCCTGGGAGCCTGAAATGGAAATTCTGCATCATGAAAGTGCCTCCTCTTCCACTTTGCTAGCTGGAGTTCTCCCCGTCACTTCCTAAGAAGCATCTGTTTCCAAACCCATTTCCGACCCTGCTACCCTGTCACAGCCCAGCTTCAAGAAGCAAGAGGCGGGGCAGTAGGAAATGAAGAGGAAAATGACACTCAGTGGCCATCTTTTTATCTCAGGCACTTTACACATGTCACTTAATCCTAATATCTACCCTTCAGGGCAGGGATTAGCTGTAGGACATGTGAGAAAACTGTGGAGAATTCAGAGAGTTAAGCAACTTGCTCCAACTCACACAGCTAGTCAGTGACCAAGCCAAAATTCACATCTATGTCTGTCTGACTCCAAGGTTCCCAGATGGGACCAGTCAGTGCCTGACCCGCCGCCCCCGTGGTCTCTACGGGCCATCGTCATAGAATCTACCCTCCCAGCTCAGAGTCCAGGGGTACTAGCTGAGGAAGTTCTTATGCCTCCACTGCCCAGTCTGTTTCTCCATTTCCAAGGCCCCAACAGAGGAATCTTTTCGGTCCGCCTCATCCTTTTAATCCAGGCCACACAACAGCGGGCAGTCCCTCTACCACAAGCACCTGCAACTCTGCCCCAGAGCCCACCCCCAGCAAGATGGGAATGCTGGGGAATTCACCCTGAAGTAGCCCTCGATCAATGATAGACACGCAGTGGTGAGCAAATCACTCAGCTTCTCGCCCCTGGGGGAATACTCAGAGTGCCCAGAGGTCCCCAGAGGAACTGAGTCCAAGGTGCCCCATTACAATGGTAATCTGCTCAGTAAAGAACCCTGCAGGGCCATCCTTCTTTTTTATGCTTCATTTCTCTGTTTCCCTACTGGAAATTCTCGGGATCACCTCCCAGTGAAGTACTTGCACTCAAATTCTTATCTCGTGGTCTGCTTCCAGGGGAGCCCAACCTCAAAGGTGTGAGAGAAAGAAAAGTCAAGGATGACTCCTAGGTTGTTGGCCTGGCCAGTAGAGCTTCATCATCTTAGCGTAAGTAGCTACATATCCTGAGCATTTGCCATGTGCATCTGGCTGGGCCTGTGACATAGAGTTTGCTGATTAACTATCCCAGCCGCAGTGTGCAGTGTACAGGGTCATCCCAATATTACCAGTAAGGAAACAGGCTCAGGAAAGTTCAAGCCTTTGCCCAGAGTCAGACAGCTAGTAAGTGGTGGAACTGGCTTTCAAGGATCCGGAGGTGAGAGAGGGAGTAAGTCCATCCTGCTTTGGCTTGGCTGCTCAGAACATGGGATCAAGACGACCCCTGTTTCCACTAGCCAGCCCCTCACTCCCAACAGGAAAGTTCTCCTTTCCTCACAGTAGAGATTTTTAATGGTGCTACCATTCACCTTTTCACTGATGGAGAAAGTGGAGGCAAGAGAGAAAGAAAAGAGAGAGAGAGAGAGAGAGACCAAAAGTACGGAGGGTGGGAGAGAACAGACAAGATAATGACAGCTATTTTGCAGTGAGTGCTTACAACACGTGTGCTAAGCCCTGTTCAATTCTTTACGTCATCTCATCTTGCCAAAAGCCTTGAGGAAAGAATTGTCTAAAATTATCCCCCATTTAACAGAAGCGGGGTGGGGGTGGGGGAAGGACAAGCTCAACACAACAGTGAAGAGACGATCCAGCCCACCTGACATCCCGGTGGCCTGGGTCCAGCCCCACCTCCCTGTGACTCAGCTGCTGTTTTCCATTTCTTTTCTTTCTTTCTATTTTTTAACAAAACAGTTCCACATCCTACTTTCTGAGCATTTCCTGCCTGGTCCCGGGGGTGGCAGGAGCGGGGAGTTTAGGGAATTAAGCCTCTGAAAGAGGACTGAAGCTACATGTCAAAGGACAGCCACATGACATAAAAACCCTCGTGCTTTCAGCAGTACCAGCAGGGCTTTGGAGAGAGAAATGCTGGTGGTCTGAGCATCTGCAGCGCTGAGGAAGGAGAGCAGCCTATGTGTCTGCGACATGGGAGGGTGGTTTTGTGGCTGAAGGGTTGTGTGCAACTGTGACAGCGGGGGCGATTCTTAACCATGCATCATGTGGCAGTGTCAAAAATGTACACCACTTAGATATACCCCCAAAAGGGTTGTTCTCTTTATTTTCAGTAACTGGTCTCACACTGGAAGATCCATTCCCACCAATGATGGAAGAAGATGGGAAACCCTCTCCCAGATGGCCTCAGGATGCAGGGGGCACTTAAGCAGCCTCGAGGCCCTGGCTGGGGGTGAGGGACATGGCTCTCATCCTGCTGGCTCTCGTTAATGCCGCTTTGAGGTGTGGCTCCTCTCACCTTGCTCTGAACCCTCCCAGCTGCCACACTGCTGCAGCCGGGGGACTCATGGTCTGCTCACTGGGTGTGGCCAGGGCCCCTGGTCCCTCACTTGCTGCCTCTGCCCCACCATGTTCTCATTGACCTGAGTCTCAGCACATCCTCCCTCCTTTTTAAGCCACCCACTTGGCAGCCTCTGCTCTGGGGTCATCCGGAGCCTCACCAAAATATCCCCAAACTCATTCCATCCTGCATCTCAGAGACTGCGGGCAGTCAGGAGTCTCAGCCCATCCACATCCCCCAGGAGAACTAAAGGCTGGTGCTGGATCCTGGCACGTCCCCTCCAATTCCCAGCTTCTACTGAATTCTCTCTTTCTTCACATGCTGCTTCACCCACCATGGGTCAGGGCCCCCATTCCCCCAAAACAACCCTGGTGTGAGTTACTGGGTGTTAACAGATGTTTACTGGAAATTTGGGCATAAGATAGGTTCTGAATGTAGCACAGAATGATTCGGGTGAGAACTTGAAATTGGATATTAACCATAAAAATCCCTGCCTTAGAAATCCACTGGCCATTCCCTGCCAGAAGGAATTAACCTCTCCCTGGCCTGACTTTCTTACCAACACCTGGGACCCCTGCCCATCTGCCCTCTTCTCCCTCACAACCCCACATCAACTCTCACACTGACCATTAAAGACTCCCAATCCTAGTTCTTTCTTTTGCAGAACAATTAGCCCTCTCTAGGCAATATAGGTAGGGGTGGGATAAGGTAGGGGGTCTCCCCCTTTATTATCGAACATGTCCATTATGCACTTTTTCCCCTAAGCCCAAGAGTAACTCCCCCCCTAAGATTTTTGCCCTCACTTTAGATCAGTCAGCTCAACTTTAACCAGCTCTACTAAAACAACATTTTTGTACTGCCTCATACATTTCTTTGAATCCTCACAGTGAAAAGTAGGCAATGTTATTATCCCCATTTCACAGACAAGGAAACCGAGGCTCAGCAAAGTTAACGAATACAGCCACTGAGTGAACCAACAGCCAGGCAAGAACTCAAACCCAGGTCTGCCTTACTCTAAACGCCGTGCTCTCCACCACTGCCCATCCTGGGAGGAGCTATGTTTCTGCAGCTTGGAGGAGAACCCCATTTTCAGAACAATTCCCACGCGGCAGGAAAGGCCAGTATGCTGCAGGGTCATCTGTGGAGCCAGGAGATAAGAACCCCTGACGCTGGGGGAGGCTGCTCCCCTACAGTCCCGACCACCCATCTTCACGGAGCACCTTCCAGAACTTCCTGAGTCAGCGTCTCCCCTGGCCAGAGAGTCACCACTGTGAACACCAGGGCAGGTCCCATCCTGCAAACAGTCACCTTGGGGCCGACCATACCGTCTCTAGACTTCAGAGCTACAGAGAGGAAGCTGCAAACTCGAGGCTCTCCCAGACCATCTAATCAGCGTGGACCCCTGGTGGGCAGGCACCATGCCTCTTTCACCTCTACTGGGAAAGGGACCAAGCCCAGGAGGCCCTCATTTCCAACCAAGACTGTTTCTTCCCCGCCTCATGAAAAAGGGCCCCAGCAGGAGGCCCTGACTTCCCGACAATGTGCACAGCTGTGACCATTCACTGAGTGCCTGCTGTGTGCCAGGCATTGTACACAATGACCTCCTCTCGTCTTTCCAGTCCCAGGGCTCAGTAGTATTGGGTTGGCCAAAAAGTTTGTTCGAATTTTTCCATAACATCTTACGGAAAAACCCGAACGAACATTTTGGCCAACCCAGTAGTTGGCCCATTTTACAGATAAGCAAACCATCTAGCAAGATCATGGCAGTTTCTTGAGTTTTTGCAGCTTCAGCAGCAGAAACCGAAATTTGAACCAAAGCTTGTGCAACTCTGAAGCCTGTGATGTTTCCACTTCAACACCCTCTGTCGGAGGAGATAGATAGTGATCTGCCCCTCCTTCCCTGGGTCCAACCATCAGTCTTTTAGGGGAAGGCACATAAGGCCGTGTTTTTGGTGTCAAAGTGTGATTCTAAAAGGCCAGTCACCTGATGGGATGAGGGGTGGGGTGAGAGGCGGCAGCAAGGATGAGCCACTCGGTGAGTCGTCCCGCCTAAGAGAACCCCACTGAGAAGACCTGGGTCTCTCACTGGACTCAGGGATAAAAGAGGTTCTGAGACTAAGAAACGCCAAGGGAATTCCTCCTGGACACCTGGGCACATCCTGCAGGTGACTCTTTATAAATAAACCAAACACGCACATGATACAAATTCTGAAGATGCAAAATAGTATCCCTCTGGGGGAGGAGGGATAAATTGGGACTTTGGGACAGACATATACACACTACTATATTTAAAATAGAAAATCAACAAGGACCTACTGATAGCACAGGGAACTCAGCTCAATATTCTGTAATAACCTAAATAGGAAAAGAATTTGAAAAAGAATTGATACATGTGTATGTATAACTGAATCACTTTGCTGTACACCTGAAACTAACACAATATTGTTAAACAGCTATATTCCAATATAAAATAAAAATTTTCAAAAAAGAAAAAAATCAAGCAAGCTAAATGGGATCTGGGTGAAGGATTCGTGTAAAATATATATATATATATATATATATATTTTAACCAGAAACTGAAAATATATACTAATTTTGAATAGTTATATTGGTTAGAATGATATATATCAAT